CTCATTAAATATAAGTTGCTTAGTAGTTTAAGACAGGCAGACTCCACGTTTAAAAATGAGGTCTTCTTAATGGTCAAACTTCAGGATCCCAATTTGGTCAAAGCTTCTTGGTTCTTATTTGGAATGAAATGAAATACTTCTCATCTTTTAATTTATGCCAAACGGGGGCCTTGATCATTTTATATTTGGTATGTAATATGTCATTTTTTTATTTCACTCTACGACAATATTTCAAGTTATGTATTAATGACAAAAAAAAAATGTTTTAACCCACTTACATTTCGAGTTTATTGAAATTTACCTTTTAATTATTTTTTTGTAATTTTTCAAATAATATACTTATTTATTAAAATAAATTAATTAACATAAGTTTTAATTAAAATAAATTAATTTAAATTTAACCAATGATATCATAAAATGTCATATATTCTGTCAAATCCATTGCAGGCACCCATGGGCTTGATGATTTAGCATCCATGGCCTCTTTTTTTGTGATGTGGCAATAAAACGTCCTATGTGGCATGGCTATTGATGATATAGACGAAATGGTGGGAACTAACAATGGAAAAATATAGATATATATTTTTTTTATTTCCCTTTTCCTCATATTTCCTCTCCGACCTCCCCGATCTCTGTAAATTCAAAATCCCTCACCAAAAAGTTTGGGTTCTCAGGACTGGAAGTCAGAATCAAGGAATCCAGATACCTTCCTTTTGAATCTAACTAGAAAGTTAGAGGCCGTCGATGATGAGTAAAGATGATGATAAAACTTGATTCTTTGATTGTTCCCATAAAGATGATGATGAAGCAAGACGCACATTTTGATTATGATGATGACGATGAAGATAGATTTTTTATTTTATTTTATTTTATTTTTTTTGCTTTTGTGAAATTTTGAGACCAAAAAAAAAGGGAAGAAAATAGACCAAAATAAAAAGAATCGTTTTTCGGTTTCAGCTGTGGATTTGTTGGAAATTTTGTCCCGTTGGTCTTCGTAAATTGTTGAAATCAAGACCCCGTCATCGTCGGCGATGGGGAAACCCAGCACGAGTAAACTGAAAACCCATATCAAATTAATTTTGTTTGAGGTAAAGGATCTATGATCTGAATAGGCACTGGTTGTTTGTGTTTATAACAAATTTCAAAATAAATTTCATGGATAATGCACCTCTGATTTGGGCATAGGTGAGGAAGAGAGGCGAAGAGAGGGGAAGAAGATGATGGCAATGTTGTAATTTCATTGGAGGGTGAACCTGTAATTTAAAATAATTATAAGGACAATTGTAATTGCAATTGAAAATGATTATTTAAGCCTCTTTGGCGGGCATTTTACCGCCCCAAAGAGTCCAAGTCAGCAATTTCCACTGCCATGTCATTGCGTATGTCCACATCATCAAGTCCACGGAAAATGGGGCCCATGTATGCCAAATCATCAAGCCCTTAACGGAATTGCAATGAATTTCATGAGATGTGACGCCTCATGACATTTTTTATAATTTGAGTTAATTTATTTTAATAAAAAAAAGATATAAAATGATTTATTTTAATATAAAATTATTAGTTAAAAAATTGTTTTTTTTAAAATAAATTGTCAAGAGGTAAGTTCGAAACCCGCTTATAAAAAAAAAAAATGCACCTCAAGTTGACAGATTACTAGTTGATCCTTCGAGCCAAGTACTATTAGTTAGTTAAAAATTTTAAAAATAATAAAAGAAGAAATTTTAATAAACTCAAAAAGTATGCGAATTAAAACATACTTTTTACCTTGTATTAATTAATAATAACTACATATGAATGAATATATAGACCCTGTCAAACCTGCACAATTGAATCGGGAAAGGCATTACAAATTCATAGGGGCGATTACTTAAGTGCTCCATTTTCATGAATTCTCTTGGTTCAAAGTTATTCATCACAGTATAAAAATAAGTAATATTTTATGAGGTAAAGATATAGACCCTAAAATTACATATTTTGACTTGTCAAAATTGTTTGTTGGTGATGAGGCTCATAATATTACAAGTAAAATTGCAAAGATATACTAAGTATATGTATTTTTTAATTGAAATAAATTAATTTAAATTATCAAGTCCTTAATGGGCCTGCAATGAATTTCATGGAAATGTGACATCTCATGATATCATCTATTCAATTTGAATTGATTTATTTTAATTAAAAATTATATAAGTTGATTTATTTAATATAAAAGTATATGGGTTAAAATTTTTTAAAAAAATAATAGAGAAACAATTTTCAACATCTATTTAACATAATGATTAAAATTTAACAAATGGCAAGTGGTGGGTAGCAGTAGCAAATAGTGGATAATAATTAACAAATTATGGGTAATAAATAGTAAAAAATAAATAATGAATAATAAATAGTAGATTTAATTAATATAATAATTTAGTTATATAATAATTAATAGTTGTTATTCAATATTAAATGACTAATAAAAAATATTTAAAAATAATTAAGTGTAATTTTTTTATATATTTTTATTATTAAAATTATTAATTTTATAAAAATAATAAATAAAAATTAATTAAATTATAATAGTATAATTGCACACTAATTTTTATTTTTAATCAAGAAAAAATTATATTATTTTTTTAAAAAATAATTTTTTAATCTTTTTGTCTAATTAGTAAATTTTGCTTATTAAGCTAATATATTTTTTTTTATGATAAATTAATGTAAAAATAAAAATATAATAGTCACTTAATACTATTAAAGGCAAAAGAATAAAGTTAAAATTAATTAAATATTATGGTCAAAAATTAAAAAATTAAAATGAATAAATTTATCAATAAAATTAAAAAATTTTAATTCATTAACAATTTAAATACTAATTATTATTCACTAATCTCAAATTACTAAATAAAAAATTTTATCAAATACTTAATTTTAAGTGATTTCAAAATACATAAATTTATCTAGCAATTATCTCTAACAATTTTAATAAAACTACTCATCGCTAACTCAAATCACTGTACTGAACAAGCGTCAATCAACTCAAAAAGGTTAAAATACACTTTTGACCTTTTTGCCGTGTATTAATTAATAATTACACATGAATGTCTACTACATAGACCTTTTCAAACATGCACAATTGAATTCATAAGTTGAAATCCAAATGCAAACAGCATTTCTTTCTTTTTTCTTTTCCAGAAGAGTTCTTTAACGTTGTTTGAATTCATAAGTTGAATTGGCCAAGAAAAAATTCAGAATTTTTATAAGATCAATGAACAAAATAATGTTAATCCTTTTGCTGGGGTAATATTCTCACTTCCCAATTCCCATTTCCTAGAGACAGATAGTACCATTGCTTCAGAATGTGGTTTTCTAGAAGATAACTGGCCTGTTGCATTGCCAGAATTAACCTTCTGCTTTAAAAAGCTCAAACTCCTCCTGATTTCTTGCCTAACTAAATAATCTAAATATTATAATTATACACATGAAATCTCAATGTGATCTCATGCTACCAGTACAATAAAGTCGCCATGAAACTATATGGTTATTAAGTCCCCATGTCTCTATTCTTTGCTCCACTTAAAGTTAAGTTATAAGGTGCATGCATATTTATGGTTGTATTAAATTTTCTCTTTTATGATCAATGAATTAAAAACATATTTCATTGACTTACAAAGAACGAGAGAAAAAAAAAAAAATCTAATTTTGATTTTTGATGTTTAACATTTAATTGAAGAGTTTGATAGAGTAGAGGTGTTTGGCGAGAATAGGTGCTAAACTAGATGCTGTAATTGAGTATACAGTCAAGGAAAAAAAAGAGTGCTTTGCTAATGCTCACTCTATGCGATAATGGTAGTTTTAATTTGATTTTTGAACTTTTAAGTGAAAATTTTAACAGTATATATAAATAACAATTAAAAATTTTTTTGGATGAAGCAAAATGCTAAATAAAAATTACATGCAATAAAAATAAAGTGTTCAATTGCATTTATTTGTTATATTAAATGTCACCTAATTAAAATTTATCTTAAACGCTGAGGATTCAAGTTGAGAAATCTTGTAATGCGACTGTTCAAAAGTCACTTTTTTTTTTTTTTTTTTGGAACGGGAAAATTTTGAGAGAAGGGGGAAATATTATAATTGTCACTGTAAAAATTTGAACCATGGCATAAGCTAAGGATTTTTCTGCACATTACCAATCCACTTGGGATAGCTAATGCAATATCACCTTATTTCTGCTCAAATTACTTTATTAAATAAATAAAGAATTTATTTGAAGATACAAGTTATGAATGTATTAATTATATTTTTTACAATTAATTTATATAAAAAATAAAAAATTAATTTTAAATTTATTAATTATCTAATTAAAATTGTCTAAGTATTATTAATTTTAGAAATAATATCTATTTTTATATATTTTTTTATAAAAATTTATTATAAAATAATGTGATTACTGTACTTAATTTTTATCGTAAGGTTATATGTTAAAAAAATACATAAAGAAATAAATGTTAAAGCAAATTTAAAAGGCACTTACAATAACTGGCTTCATTGTCACTGTTAGGGAAAATGGCTGAGACTCACTCCAAGCTATGGCCCGGTCTCCCAAAGTTGTGAGGCCAGCGTGGATGATACTCAACTGCTGTTAGTTTGAGTTTCCATCCTTTTGTGCCTTCGTAGTAATTAATTACTACTCTCCTTTTGCAATTACCTGATCATCCTTCCATGTGTATAAGCAAGTCAATGTTAATTAAGGAGAAAGAAAAGATACAACCACATCTAACATGACTGAATGGCCCGTTAATTACTGAATGAACACTCGCCCGACTGACAAAGCAGAGCAATCAATGGTAGAAAG